TCTTTTTATTTTCTTCTGACTTTAAAAGAAGTTAAAACATCTTTATGAGTCCCTAAAAGTATGGCGGGCCTGAAACTCCATGCCTGCTGTACCCAACGGGTAAGCTGGCCCTGGCCAAAGCCGTGGCAGTGTGACACAGCCTGGATAGAACATAAAGCATCGTTCTCCAGGGCAATGGATGAGGAGAGGCTATAAATAAGGAAGCAGTTGCACAAGAAGGGCCTTGATTACCTAAGGAGTGTAGATTTTATGGTAGAGGTGGCAAGGAGCCCCTGCAGCGCTGGACTGGAGGACTGACAGTTTGGGGGTTGCACCAGAGTGGAGAGAACTTTGGGATGATCGTTGCCTCCGTACGAACTCTCAGAACTCTGGAGCGACAGTGGAGATGAAAGGCAGGAGGAAGGGGAAGAGAGATTTGGGAAGCCAGCACAGATAGATGTGAGGGGGTGGGTGGGGGAGAAGCCCGGCCTGCCTTCTTCTGGCTTGCCCCTCTGCCCTCATGGAAAAGGAGAAAACGAGGAGAAACTGTTTGTGCTTCAGGACTTTGGGAAGATCAAATGGAAGATCCTTCGCCAATAGCACAGCAGAGAGACTTTATGTAACTTATAGAGATCTTCAATCCCCTGGCCTGTACCGGTCCAGGGCCTATTAGGAACCAGGCTGCACAGCTGCACAGCACAGCAGGAGGTGAGCAGCAGGCAAGCCAGCAAGTGAGCCAGCGAAGCTTCACCTGTGTTTGCAGCCACTCCCCAGCACGAGCATCACTGCCTCAGCTCCACCTCAGATCATCAGGCATTAGATTCTCATAGGAGCACTGGTCCCTGGTGCCAAAATGGTTGGGGACCGGTGCCTTAACAGACCTGTGGGTGGTTTCAGGGTCATCTCTTGCCTAGATCTCTGCAGTGGCTCTTAACAGGCATCACGACTCCCCCCATCCCCAACTGCCAGAGGCACCTCTCTAAAGCTCCATTCCCATTGGGCCACTTTCCTGCTCCCCATGGCCCAGAGGACAAAACCATAGCCCTCTCCTGGGCATTTCCAGAGTTCAGAATGAGAAAAAAACAGACTGGGTTTCAACACCCCTTAGGGTACAACACTTCCAGAACCTCATTTTGGCTATACATTTCTCAATCCCCAATAACTCCCCTCCCCCCACCCCTGCCCACTCCCCTACCAGAAACAAAACAAAAAACCGTACTTGACTCTCACTTTCCAATGCAAACACTGTGCTTTCTCCAGAGCAGACCAAGCCAAAATTGAATGTAGAGGCAGGAAATACACTTATAGGAAGAAGAGCTGGGCTCGAGTGACGCCTTTAAAGACAAACCCTTCCATTCAATCTCGGCAGGCTTGTGACTCACTTATAACCAACAGAATGCAGTAGAAGTGATTTTGTGTCACTTCTGAGGCTAGATCATAAAAAAAAATGCAGCTTCTGTCTCGTTAGTTGGGATACATGCCTTTGGAGCAATGAGACCAAATGTAGGAGGTCCAGCTCCCCAGAGACTGCCATGCTGTGAGGAGGCCCAGGTCACATGGAGAGGCCATACTTTTGTATTCTGGTTGACATTCTAGCTGAGGTCCCAGCCAATAGCCAGCATCAACTGCCAGACATATGAGTGAGTGAATCTTCAGATGTTTGCAGATCCTAGCTTTCCAATCACCCCAGCCTTTGAGGCTTCCCAGCTGAGCAACACCCCTCCCCCCCACACACACACATCAAGGCACAGAGACAGCCATCCCCACTGTGTTCTGTCTAAATTCCTGACCTACAGAATTCATGAGCATCATAAAATGATTGTTGTTTAAACCACTAAATTTGAGGTGGTTTGCTATGCAGGAATAGTATGTAGAACACTGAAACTAGGCAAATGTATGAGCAAGATAATTTCATAGTGCGATATCACCTCAGGGAAACATAAAACAGCGCAATAACTTGAAGGCCTGTTTAGATGGGGCAGGGGAGGTTGGGAGGAGGCAGGGGAAGTATGGATCAGGAGAGGACTTTCTGGAGAGACATTTAAACTGGAATCTGAGTGAAAAGGAACCCAGCCACTGAAGATCGGAGAGAAGAGACTTCCAGGCAGAGGGTACAGCAAATGCAAAGGCCCTGAGGCAGCAATCAGCTTAGGTGTTCTGTGAAGGTCAAGAAGGCTAGTGTTAGTTAGGGGGATCTGGGTGAGGAGGAGAGTGGGGACAGTGAAGTTGGAGAGGAAAGCAGAGAAGGCAAGTCATTCTGCTCTCCCAGGCTGCTGAAAAGAGTTAGATCTGAGACAGAGTGGGCTTGGAAGCCAGTAGAGGGTATTATACAGGAGTGACTCGGTCGGGTAAGGTCTTGATAAGAGCTTTGGCTGCCAAGTGGATGACAGACTGTAAGGAAAGACAGGGCAAAGGGAGGAAGACCTCCTGGGAGGCTATAGTAGTGGTCCGCGAAAGGGGGGATGGATGGTGGCCTGAGGCAGAATGATGGCGATGAAGTTGTGGACTGATAGGCAAACTCTGGACACAGGCAATGACAGAGAGTAACTGAAAAGGAGGAGGCGCCCGGTCGGCACATCTGTCCCGGGCGGAGCCGCGACTTGGGCGAGAACCGGAACCCGGCATCCTTCTGGTATTGCGGCGGGAGGCTCGGAGCCAGGGCCGGCCAGGACAGCGCGTACTGGCGTCCGGAGTCTGCTGCGCGGAGCCGGCCCCTGGCTGCTTGCCTGCTTGGCGTTTCCCAGCAACGGCCGCCGCCGCCCGAACATTCCGAACTCCGCGGCCTGGGTAACGTCATCGTCACCTTGGCGACGGTGGACAGGAACGCAGCACCCCCCCCCCTCACCCCGCTCTGGGCTCCGGGGGCGGGGCCTCGGCGGGGCGCAACCGCCTTCGGCCGGCCGGCCCCGCCTGCAGCCCCGCCCCCTCCCCTGCAGGAGGTGAGACGGTGCCTGGGCGTCAGCGGCAGGTGTGGCGGTAGGTGTGCAGGGCACTGGGCGAGGCCTCACCCAGAGGCCGCTGCTCGCCTTGGTGCACGCTGCCGCACGCCTGCTCACCACCCATCCACCCGCTTATCCTGAGGCCGCTGCCTCCAGCTACTAGGGCTGGCTCCTCTGTCTTTCGGGTCACCTCCGCAGAGATGCCTTCCCTGACCACCCAAGCTAAAGTAACTGCCAACCTCTTCTCATGGACTGACCTTGTTTTTATTTCCTTCACAGTATCACTCCCCTCTAAAATCATTTTATCTGCTTATAATACCATTGTCTTCCCTCTTTAAACTTAAGTAAGTTTCATGAGGTTAGGGATAAATTTTGCCTTGCTCATCTCTGTTCTCAGCACCCTGAACAGAACCTAGCATGAAGTAGGTACTAAATGAATGTTAGTTGGATGAGTCAGGGAATTCACTTAATCATTTCATTCATCTACGTGTTCATTTATTTGACATTTATGGAGTCCTAGGCACTTGAGATAATCACTAGAGATACTGAGATGAACAAGACAGGGACTCCACCTGGAGGTGAGAAGAGAGATGTTAAAACTCATGATTACAATAATACTAAAAGTGAACATCTTTGAGTTCCAGATGCTAGGCATAGCTCCAAGCACTTTGCATGTATTAATTGACTTAATCTTCACAATAGTAAGTACCATAATTGTGCCCATTTTACAGATGACAACACTGAGAACAGTCACACTAGAAGATGCTGGGCCCTGTAATCAAGTGAGGTCCCACAAAGTGTCAGGGAGGGGGACATGTGGTTTAGGGCCCAGTGAGATGTGGGTATCAGGCCCAAATGTGTAGATTTGGTATCTTAATTGCTCCCACACAGCACAGTCTTCCACAGGCAACGGGCTCCTTCCAGCTCAGAGCTCTGTTGCTTAGGGGAACTGCTCCCCCATCCCCATATTGGCAGAGCAGGCAATGAGAGGGCTGTGAGGGTGTGGGAGGCTGAGCCCTTGGCTGGCGGTAGGAGTTTGCCTGTTCAACTGAAGCAAAGTGTGGGCAAATTTCCATAGAACCTTGCAGGAGGCAGGATGTGGGATGGGGTGGTTGCTAACACCCCTTCCTACAAAGAGCTATCCTGAAAATCCAGGAGCTAAGCTTGCTCCCACCTCTGGGTTTCTGCATATGCTCTTCCCTCTGCCTAGCATGCCCTGCCGCCCACCCCACCTCGATTTTCACATAACTGGCTCTTTATTATTTAGATCTCAGGGGAGGTTATTATTATTATTATTATTATTAGAGAGGTCTGCCTTGGCCAAGTCCTCTAAGGCAGTCACCTGTCATTGTCACATCACTATATCTTAAGACCCCTACCCCAGAGTGGGAGAATGGCCCAGTCAAGCGCCTCACCCTTATTCCTGATACAGTTTTCCCTGGTTATTCACTGTCTTTCTGTCTCCTCACTCTAGAAAGTCAGTTCCCTGAGAGCAGAACCCTATTAGAACTCAGCTCTGTGTCTCTGCTGCCTAGAACAGGCCTGGCATGCAGCAGGCACTCAATGCTTTTTGAAAGAGTGAAAAAGGCCTTTCACCCAATCATTCTGGCTTTCCCGGCCGGGATCTGTGCCCTTCCAGAAACCCCTGCTCTGCACACAGCACCTGGCTTGAGCAGGGAGAAGTGGCCCAGCCATCTTGACCACTGGTCACCAGAGTTCTCTTGGCGTGAGGCCCTCCCTCCTTCCCAGGCTTGACTGGGCTACTCTCCCACTCTGGAGCAGGATTCTGGTCAGATGCCACTCCAAGATGATGTCCAAGAACTGCCAGGCAGAGAGGCCAGAGGTAGAACAGCAGCGGTGTGTGTCGGGGGGAGGAGCGGGGTGAGGGGAGCAAGGAGAATAGGGGTGCGGGCAGGCCTTTCTGGATCCCAGCCAAGATGGTAGAAGAAGGGGTGGCTTTTCTTAGCCTTCCAACACTGCCGTTGACAAGAAAACAGGGCACCTGGAGGTTGTGGCTGTTTTCCCCAGTGGGAAACCAGACTCTGGAACAGATGCACAGTCAGACACACACAGAAAAGAGAATAAAACTTGGGTTTATTCAGACTTTTCCCCCCGCATTTGGGTGCAGAGGGGGCGGGTAGGCAGTCCCTTTGGCTTTTAGAGACATTATTGATTGCCATCCTTGTCTGTGTGACCTTTGGGCTGCTAGGATGATCTTCTGATAGATGGAGATGGTGATCAAGGAGCTGAGCAGGGCCCTCCGGAACCTTCAGTCAAATCCCAAACAGAGACTAATACAGAGAGTCTAGTTGGCCCTGTCCTCTCCAGGAATTAAGAAGCGAATGGCTGAGAACATTTTGATGCATAATGAAAGAAATGAAGGCTGAGAGTGGCAGGTCTCTCGGGGGCTCCATCTCTAGCAGTGGCATGCAGACTCACGTGGCATTCAGTTCTGTGTGAGGAGCACGTGTGTCTGCACGTATCCATGCCTCCCCACACAAGCAGCTGCAAGCCTCCATCCTACTCCACTGCCCAGGTAACTTGGTGGTCCTCTTCCTAATCTTTCCTCCCTCTTTTGTAAGAACTGGGCCAATTGATGGAGCCGACCAAAGGGAAACCACCCGCAGAATTCCGAAGATGCCCCTTCTTCTTGGTCCTGGCCTCATGTATGCGGAAGGAAGGCCCCACCTCAGTCCCCTGGAGGGAGATGTCCCAGGGACAGATGGGAGGCTGTGGTGGGAGGTGGAGGGGCTCAGTGGGCTGCAGGCTGGGAGTGGCCACAGGGCACGGGGACCCTCTGGGCTTCCTCCAGGTCCCCCCTGAGCCCAGCTGGGCTGTGCAGGAACTGCCGCAACAAGGGGGAGGCCTCGAGCCCAAGGTGGGGATCTGGGCCCCTGGGCGACCCTGCCTGCCCCATGACCGTGGCGGAGGATGCGAGGACTGTGTTCCTGCTCTCGTCCGCCCCCTCATACTGCTCAGTCCTCGTGGCTCCGTAGTGCTGGGAGCTGCCTGGCCTAGTCTGCAGCTCCAGAATGCACTTCTGCTGCATGCTGGGCAGAGGACCGGCTGGGGCAGGAGCCGGCTTGGGCTGTCCGGAGCAGTGGGCGACCTCCTGCTCCCCGGCCTTATCCAGGACACCTTTCTGGTGGAGCAGGGCCTGGCTCACATCCTGGGCCAGGTGTGTGTTTTCTGTGACTTCTGGGCTGCCCCCGGGGCTGGGAGCCTTTGGGAGCTTCCTTGTGGGTGACTGGATAGAAATGCAGGTTGGGGAGGAGGGTGAATCTCTGGTGGAAGGCAAGACTCGAGGGAGGCCTAAATCTTCTCTCAAAGTCTCCAGCCTCCTGGTGGAAGGGGTGGTTGAGACTGCTTGACCCGTGGCCCCTGTGTGATTTCTGACCTTAGCTTGATTCTGGACCTCAGGATGACATGTAGCCTCGGTCTGACTCTTGACTGCAGTTTGACCCCTGACCTCCTGGCCTGTGCAGTTGGGTCTGGCTTTACTGCTGTTTATGACACTGACTTTGAAGGAGCTGTGGTCCTTTGGAGGTCCTCTGGAATGGCCTCTGGTATTAGCCTCAGGCTGGAGATTAGACATGGAGCTGAGGGCCTTGTGCACAGCCTCCTCAATGTCCAGCAGCCTGGCCAGCGTCTGTTCCTTCAGCCGGGCGACCTCCGTGCTGACCTTCCTCAGCTCCCCAAAGGCCTGCTCCACTGAGGCTTCAGGTTTGCGGGGGGTAGCAGGAGCCTGAGGGGCCCCTCCCAGCTGGGGCACAGCCTCAAAGAGCCTCCGCAGTGCCCTCACATCCACACTGCTTGCTGCCTCCTTCTCCAAGGCTTGTACTTCGTTCAGGAGGCTCTGGAGCTCTTGCTGGCTTCCCTGCAGAATCTTGGGGCTCTGAGAGGCCTCTTGCTGGGAACTTTCTGTGAGCTTCTCTTCTAGGGGGCTGGGGTTCTGCTGCAGTGAGGTGGGGTCACTGCTGAGAGCTGAGAACTTGGGGGGCTCAGGGCTCTGGGAACTGCAACCCACAGCCTGACTCTTGGTGGGCCTGGAGGCCATGATGCTGGGGCCATGTTGGGGGCTGGGCTGGTTCTGACCATTGGGACACCCAGCCAGAGATTCACGTCCCTGGCCTGCAGTGGTGGGGACCTTGGCCGGCTGAGGGATGGCTGCATCTGTCTCACTTTGCTTGTATTCTCCTTGGGAGGAGCTGAGAGATCGAGCTGAGGGCTTGGGCAGCCTCTGAGGAGGTGGGAGCTGGCTTAGATAAGCAGGTTTGGGGGGCAGCTGGGGCTTCTTCCTTGGGGACATGGTGGGCTCCAAATTTGGGGTCTTTGTCTGTGATTCCCAAGGGGTTCTCTGGCCAGCAGGGCTGGGGTGGGAGTGGAGAAGGGGGCCCTTCAGGGCCTCGGAGGCTTGCCAAATGGAGTCCTCATCATGGCGGGCTTGGGCTGAGAAGTCAGGTCCTGTCACAGCAGCTGGGAGAGGAGGAGGAGGAGGAACAGAAGCATTATGGGAGTGCAGGCTGGCACCTGCTGCCCAAGGCCCAGAGGCCAGAGTGTGATGGGCTAAAGAGGCAGCCTTCAGGGTGGTCTCTGCAGCTTGAAGGCCGCCTGGGCCGACTCCTGCCATAGCTTTCTCTGGAGGCCCCCAGGCCTTCTGCGTGCAGCCCCCAGGCTCCTCCCGACCGGGCCCTAGACTCTGACCTGGGCCTTCTTGGCGTGGGCTGGGAGCCTGGGCTGAGAGGGCAGTCTCTCTGTCCCTTGGTAGGGGTTCCCTCTCAGAGAGCTGGACGCCCCCATGTAGGTCAGAGGTCCTCATGGGGTGAGCAGTGTAGATGCCATCCTGAATAGTCACCCACCCTCCAGGCAGCCCTCTGGGCAGTGCTTTCTGTTCCCCACTGACCTTTCTGGGGGCTGCTGGGATCCTGGGGTCCCCTCCAGCCATAGGTCTGGTGTTGCTCTGCGCAGACCCAGTGGCTGTGGCAGGTGCTTGCGGAAAACCATCCTGGAAGGGTGTGGAGACCGTTCTATGGGTGGGGCCTTGCTTGTGTTTACTCAGAACTTGCTGGTGCAGGCTTTGGGCCTCAGCTGTTGCCATCCGCAGACCCTGCATGGCTGCCTGGAGGTCTGGGGCCCCAGGCCCTGGGGGCATAGTCATGGCTCCTTCCGACTTTGCCAAAGCTGCCATCCCTTTCTGCTCAGTGCAACTGTCTTCTTGCTTTTCTTCGCCAGTCAGAGGGACTGTCATTCCAATAGCCTGTGGGGGACAGGGGGTGACCCTGGGGCCTCTCAGATGCCCTATCCCCATGCTGGGGTCCAGCGGGGGAACATGAATGATGTTCTCAGTTGGGGGAAGCCTCTGGGCCCCCTCGCTGGCTGGCACTGGACTCGGGTCAGCCGGCGGCTCCCACCGCAGATTGTGCAGGCCACTCAGGTCTCCTTTGTCTATGCAGCTGGCCAGCAGCTGCACACTGCTCCTCTCAGGGGCCCTGCTGGTTAGCCAGGGCTGCAGAGAGTAGGCGGTCAGTGAGACCAGGCCCTGCTCTGTCTCCTGCATCACCAGCCCAGTCCTCGCCACCGAGGTGCCCAAGCCGCAAGCCAGCAACTGCTGGAACTCAGGGTCCAAGTCTTCAACATTGCTGCTGCTGCCTGGAGCTGGAAGCCTCAGTGGCTTGAGCTGGAGCTGGCCTGCTAGGTTCTCCTGAACCAGCAACCCCTGCTGGTCCACGTCTGGCCGGCGCAACACTTGGCGGACTATCCTAGGAAGCTCACCAGATACCAGCTCTTCCTTCCGTACGCAAGGGCCCCCCTGCCCTGGGCCTGGGAGCACGTACTTGGCAAGACAGAGCTCCCCCGGCCCTCGGGCCTCCATGAGGATGCCTCCTCGGTGCAGGATGCCAGGCGTGGCGTGTAGAGTCCGCAGGGTCCCCTGGGCTGCAGTTTCCTGCTTCTCTGGCACCTGGCTGCCTGATGGGCCCACGGGCTGCTCTTCTTGTAGGTCACCCCCTCGGATGCTCTCAGCTGCCAAGGAGCCCATGGGGCAATTCTCAAAGAGCCAGGTGAACTTGTGCACAGAGCCTGCAGGGATGGGCTCAGGGATTGCCCTCGACCCCTGGTCTTCCTTCTTGCCTGCCTCCAGGGCCTGGAAAACCTCCTTTTGACGAGACACTTGCCCAGAAGGGATCTCCACTCGACTGCAATATCGCACAGGCCCTCTCCCGCAGGGGCGGCCCGAGGCCGGCAGGGGCTCCGTCTCAAAGACATGTCTGTTGGTCTGCCTTTCTCCAGCTTGGACCTGGCTAACTTGCAGGTGCTGCTCCCTGGAGCCTTCTGGCCTGTCCAGGGGTTGGGACACGAACATCCAGGTGCAAGACTGTTCCTTGGCCTTAGTTGTGGGATCTGTGACCTCTGACCCCTGCCTCTCTGCCAGCTCACTCATTGGGCATGTCTCGAACAACCACCGGATGGTCTGCACATCACCCTTGAGGGGTGTCTCAGGCTGGGGACCTGACTGACTCCCTTCTTCTTCTTGTCGTTCCTGCCGCTCCCGCTGGTGAATTACTTCTAGGGGCTGGGTCTCAAAGAGCCACCGGGCAGTGCCCACGTCTCCGGCCACCACTTCCTGCCGGGTGATGCCCCGCACCACATCGACGGTACTGGGGCTTCGGCCCAGTTGGTCTAGAGGCTGTGTCTCAAACATCCACCTGTAGCCCTGCACATCACCTCCGACTACCTGCTCTCTGCTGACAGAGGTCAGGGCATGGAGGTGGCCTTTGGCATCCTGCATAGCATACACTGGGGACCCTGTGTCTCGGGACTGCCCAGCGGAATCAGTTCCATTGGCTCTGCTTACACTCCTGGGGGCTGAAGTTTCACCCTGCCCAATGCTGTCCAGGGGAATGGTCTCAAAAAGGTTCTTGAAGGTCTTTACGTCCCCTTTCACCTCATCTCTCTGGGGGGCAGTCTGAGAGAGGGACAGTGCTGAGGAGCTGTCACTGGATAGATGCTCATACATGAGCCCCTCACCCTCCTGGGGACCCACCCGCTGCAGGTGACCCACTTGGACCTTGTCTCTGGGAGCATCCAGGGGCTTCATCTCAAATAGCCACAGGGTGGAACGGACATCGCCAGGGACCACTTCCTCTTTGGGCGGGGCCTCTGCCTCAGCCTCTTCTCCTTTCAGAGTGTCTAGTGCTTGGGTCTCAAACAGATGCCGCTGATGCTGAACATCTGGACCAGGAGGGATAAGGTCTGGGGATGGCTGGAAGTCCTTCTCGTCCACCAGGATCTCCCTGATGGCATCCAAAGGCTGTGTCTCAAAGATCCAGCGAGTTGCACTGACGTCAGGCCGGGCTGCCTCCTCCAGGGAGATCCCCCGGATCACCCGCACCTGGCTGGGATCCCGGTTGATGGCATCCAGAGGTTGGGTCTCAAAGAGCCAACGGGCTGACCTCACCGCGTTGCTTTGGATCTCCTCCCGGCATGCGGCCTTGACCTCGTGGATGGCGCCTTCTGCATCCTGGATGGCACACAGTGGCTCTGTTTGGAACAACTTCACTGTCTTCTTCACATCACCCTTCAGCTCCTGGATCTCTGAGCGCAACTCCAAAGGGCTCTGCTCCTGGATGGAGGGGCGGGAGCCCAGGCGGTCCAGCGGCCGCGTCTCAAAGAGCATCCTGGTACCCTGAACATCTCCACTGGCTGCAGGCTCCCTCACGGTAGCCTCCGGTGCCTCAGCCTGGCCTGTCAGCTCATCCAGTGGCTTCGTCTCAAATAGCCAGCGGGCTGCACGAACATCTCCCCTGGATGGCGGAGGTCCGGCGGGCTCCTGCTCTGTGCTGTTGGCAAAGGAGCCTTCCTCAAACTTGCGAGAAGTGCCCTGGACATCCCCGCTGGGAATGGGCTCCTTGACAGCTGGCTTCTCATGGTCCCCAATGGCATCCAGCCGCCAGTTCTCAAAGATCCAGCGCATGCACTGGACGTCGCCCTCAGTGGGCTCCTCCGAGTCCAGGACCTCAGCCAGGTCTTCGGCCACAGCCTCTTCCAGGTTCTTGCGGAGCTCGGGGTGGATGTGCCTGTAGAGGCGGCGGAGCTCATTAGCCTGCCGCTGCTGGTGGAACTTAGAGAAGGACCCCTTGGGTGGCGGCAGGGGCAGGTCCTCTGGAGCTGGCGGTGGAGGGCGGGGCAGGTCCTCCGCAGTTGCCATCCGTGTGGTTGGTGTGAAGGCCACCTGCATCTGGGTGTCGGCCATCCTTCTGAGAAGAAGGGGCAGAGATGAGGATGGGGCTGAGGGCCTAGGTGGGGGAGGGGCTGGTTGCTAGGAGAAATGGCAGGGAGGAGGGTCTAGGGGCAGAGTAGCCTGCAATCACATGCCCTCTCCTGGGTCGCCCTCTGCCATGTCTTGAACTTAGAGCATGTGGAGGCATCCAACGAGGTGGGTTTCAGCTTCCCCAGGATCACTTGGGTTGCTAGGGAGCAAGCAGGCCGCTGCTAGCCATGAAGGTCTGTCCTTCAGCCCCAAAAGGGATGATCAAACCTTCAACGGGCAAACTGGATATGCCCATCCTCACCTTCCATTACCAAAATCAGTTTTCCCTGGTGGAGACCCAGGTAAGTGGCCCAAAGGAATCCTGACTCATGGGGTCTTAGCCAGGGAGAGGCGGGTCCCTAAACCGGTGACTATTTCCCATAGAGAAAAAAATTTCCTTTAATAACACCAGAGGGCGTGCTTGCCACTTTCCCTGGGAGTCTTGCTCCATCTCTCTCTCCACTCTGAACTCACTCTCCAACCTTCCCCTGTCCAGGGAGGTGCGGCAGGGGCCTGCGGTCCATGATCTAGCAGAAGCAGTAGAGTATCTCATGGTTAGGCAGAGCCAGATTCTGAATCCCAGGTAGGGGCTTCTGTGCCATACCCCAAGACTCAGAGGTCTGAGCTAGGGGGATCTCAGAGGTTTTCTAGGCCAAACACTCACAATTAAAGATAAGGAAACTGAGGCCCAGATGGGGTCAGATTTTGGCAAATGAGTAACAGGAAGTGCTGGCTCGGGGTTCCTAGACCCTATTTGGAGCCTAGCTTCCAAGGAATAAGAGGGTGGAGAGTGTGAAGCTTTCTTATTGGCTGTGGTACCCCTCTGTTTCCCAGCAGGCAGCCCTGAGAGTGTGAGGGTGACAGTTACAGGGAGGGAGGGGTCCATTCCTGACTGCAACTGGCCGGAATCTGGCTTCGAGCTGGTCTCCTTTCTCTCTCTTCTTGTAGATCAGTTTCTGCCAAGGCGCTGCCTCCCCCAGCTCACCTCTGCCCCTTCCATGCCCTCCCACCCCTCAAGCCTTTCTCTGTGTCTTATCTGTCTTGTGACAGGTGGACTAACAGTCCCCAGAAGCCAGTAGGTAAAGAATGAGAAGCACGTCCCCCATCTTGCTGCCCCTGACCCACTGCTCTGCTCCAAACTCGGTGCTAAATATAGCTGAGCTCCTGGCTTCGGCACAGCAGCCCTGGGCCTCTCCAGAGGGAGGCTCAGCCAGCGGGATCCTGGGCTCCTTGGCCCACCTCATCCCCTTCTCCACCCTGGACTCCTTGATCCTGCCTCTGAGTCTCACCACACACTCTGGGAGATTCCTGTAGTCTCTGAGTTCCAATGAAGACCCCCTGCCAATGGCAAACAAACCATGCCTGTCCCCGCCTCCTCCCTGTCTTGTCACAGCCAGTGTGGCCTGAGCAGATGGCATATGCAGGCCACCAACTCCACCCCGCCACCACCCCCAGGAATCTCCACAATCCCTGCTGTGGTCACAGACCGTTAGAATCACAGAGTCCAGGGATGTCAGACGTAAGGACTCTCAGAGGTCACTGAATCTGACTCCTTCATTGTTCAGACAGGGAAACCGGGGCCCAAAGAGGGGAAAGGAGCTGTCTCAGGAGGCTCCTCAAGGCCCGAAGCAGGTTTCCCACTCCTGGCTGTCTCGTCCTCTCCCTTGCCTGGCCTGAGACTCTTGGGCTTAAGTTTCTAGAAGTTAGGGACAGGGAGGAGGGGGAAGGCACACTTCAGAACTGGGACTGGACTTAGGGTGTCCCAGAGCTTGGCCTCCTCAGGCTGGCCAGCCCCTCAGAGTGACCCCCACCCCAGTTTGCCCCTCTTTGGCCCAGCCCCTGTCCAGGTGTCCACATCTGCGCAGACTCAGATCCTGTCTCTCTGACCTTGTGTCCCCCAGATTTGTCCCCAGGGCTTTCCCACTGGGCAAGATGATGGCCTGGAGCAGAATCTGCATCCCACCCCAGGTCCTAGACTGTGATATATGGGGAGCCAGGCTCAGGTCAGCCTGGGGTAGACGCTCCTGGGCCAGGAATTCCAGGATTTTCACCCACGCAGCTGGGCATAGGGCTCGTCCTGGCAAGGCAGAGTCGGGCCTGCTCACCGCCCTCCACCTGCATGTCCCCTGCCTCTCTTCGCTCCCTCTTTCCTGCCTGGGAGGAAGCCCTGAAGCCCGAGGAGCTCCATACTTGTCTTTTAAAAACCACAACTCCAGGCCACCTCCTCCTTAAAGCCCTTCTGGATTTTTTTCAGACTGGCAAGAACCTGTCCCTTCAGGCCTGTGGCGGCCACTCTGAAATCTCCCGTGGGGCTCATGCTAAATCTCCCTTAGCTTCCTCGTGAAATCCTTATATCAGAGACCCCTCCACTCACCTACATCCAGATGCAAGGCCCCTTCTGCCACCCCTAACATCTGCTATCCTGAGAACAATCAGAGGGTTGGGAGGGGACCCCAGCCTAGAGAGCCAGCCCTGCCATGGAAAGACAAAAGGTAGGTTACTCACCTGAGGGATCCGCTTGGCTGAGGGGGTGCTCGGGGTCTGTGGCAGGTGCGGCCCAAGGGTCTGTGCTTCCTCTCGAGCTTCTTGTTCGGGGTCTGCTTTGCTGGCTCTGTTAGATGCCTTTTTGCTACCCTGGCTCTGGGTCTCTGTCCCCTGCCAGCCCCAGCAGCTGCCTTTATCTTGCTGGCTAGGGGGTGGGCCAGGGTGGAGGCGGGCGCGAGAGGCTAAGTTCAGAGTATGAAGTGGTTCAGTTATTTTTAGGGTTTGTGGAAGTCACTCTTCCATCCTGGGGAATCGATTACATGTCCTTTCTGCTGGGGAGCGAAGAGACGTGAAGGGAGAGCTTCATTCATCCAAGTCCCCTGTGAGGACTGGGCTCAGTGACTCAGCCACGGTGAGGGTGCCAGTGTTCCAGACTATTCTGAGGAAATGAATAAGGAGGGGCACCTGACACCTGGACAGCCCTGCTCCCCAGGCCCGCGAGCCCCCCTCCCCGCTCTGACTGGCCTCTGACTGTTCCTGATGAGTGCATGTCCACTCCGCCAGGAGACAGGGCCCGAGGGCAGGCCCCCTTTTCTGTTCCCAGCCTGGAGACCTCTGAGAATAAGGCCCAGCTCTCCCTCTCCCTCCCTCACCCTGCACTAAACATTTCTCTCTCTCATATCCATTCCTCCTCATGCCCCACAGGTCAGATCTCCACAGCCCTGAGTGCAGCTGGATTAGGGGGAAAGGCATCTGAATTTCTCCACCTCAACTCTTCACTAGGTCCCTGGTTTATCAAAGAATTCCACGGAAAAGTTCTGTGGTTTTCATAGCGGATTATCTGGGTCCTTGTTTACTTTTGGGCTCTATCCTCTGACTCAGGGCCCAGACTTTCTGGGAATGGAGGGGAGGGGAAGGGTAGCAGGCGGGGAGCTGACGGTGGGTTATTTCTGACCCTGGAGTCATCAGCTTTCCGCAGAAGGAGAGGGGTGGGTCACACCTGCCCCTCCTTTGCTGCCCAGAGTTTGAAAGGCTTAGTAGGCTCAAGAGATGCTGGCATTTAGGCCGGAAGGGGCCAGTGTGGTGAGGGGCATCAGGGACCATCCAGAGCACACGCGAAGGCAGCCTTTTGCCCAGGTTGGCTCTCTAAGGCCATGCAGGTGCCTTCTGTTACCTGGCAGAAGAGGGTCTTCCTTCTGACACCCCGAATGCCCTCTGGTGCCAGGGAGTGACAGCAGGCGTTGCTCACTTTTTCCATTGAGTCGACCTCGGTCATGTAGTGTTGGCCTGTGGGTGGGGAAAGGGGCATCCGGGAAACCCTCTCCCTGTTCCCCTGTCCTTCCCCCACCCCCCCCGCCCCGCCCCGTCTCCCCAGCTCCTGGCTCTCCCGTGAAGGTCAGGGAGATGCGATTTCCTTTCAGGCCAGGGCAGGAGGATCCTCAGGTGTCTCAGGGAGCCATCGCCCTGGGGATGCCCAAAGTGCCTCCCTGCTCCTGTGGTTTTGAGAATTGAATGAATTAACGTCCGAAAAGGTTTTATGAGAGCGCTTAGCACAGAGCATATGCTATAGAAGTGCCTGCTGTTATTACACAGGTAAGCAAAGCACCCAGGTAGAATCCACTTTTATGTTCAAATTGAGTGTGTTAAGTCATGCAAGAAATTTCTTAGGCCTCAAGGTCAGGAAAGAGGCTTTCCCCGACCACCTGCTTTTTAAAAAAATTTATTTTGAATTTTTAAAAATTTCCCCACTTCCACCCCTGACTTACAGGGGTTGCCATACACCCAGGGCCTGGTCCATGGCTCTGCTGGGGCTTGAACCCAGGACCTTCAGCATGTAAAGCAGACATGCTAACCACTATTCTATGAAACCACTCCACCTTTGTTTTTATAGATAAGGAAATTGAGGAACAGAGAGGGTAATGAATAAGAGGCAGGAATGATTAAGAGCCAGACTACCTGAGCTGATACAACAGTGCTCTCCAATATAGTCACCTTCAGCCACATGTGACTAAATTTAAATGAATTAAAATGAAATAAAATTTAAAATCCAGTTTCTCTATCCCACTAGGCACATTTTAGTTGCTCCATAAAGGCGTGTACCTAGTCACTATCCTACTGGACAGTGCAAAAACGTTTCCGTCGTCGTGGAAAGTTCTATTATTAACACAAAAAAATCTCTTAACAGATGGGATTTCCCTCTTTGTCTTGGCTGTTAGGAAGCTCTGAGCTAAATTTTTAGTCTTCTAGTAAGTAGACTCTGTGGCCTGGCGTCCGGTGTAATGAAGGTGACTAACTGTCCCTCGGTTGCGTGTCTCCAAGGGGTTTCCCAGAACAAGGGACTTTCGATGTTAGAAGTAGGAAAGTTCTAAGAAAACCAGGACGTGGTGGTCGCCCTATGTGTAATGATCTAACAGTGTTGCGTCATCAAGGTTTCAGTCACAAAGCCATTAAGGCAGTAAGCCACACATTATTTAGTGGACTGTCTTTGATGGAGATATTGTGCCTCTATCTTTTCGAGCTCCTTTAAATTATTTTAGGAATGAGGCTAGGAATAAATAAATACACTGAAGTTGAATGGCCGTGCTGATCAAAAGGCAGAGGGGAATTGGGGGTGGGGTGGGGAGAGAAAGGATTTTCCATCATTCAAAGTCCCTCCTTCTGACCTGAGGGCTTCTTCCTCTGCCAGCTCCTCCTTCCAAGTGAGGTTCCACCAAAGTTGGAAATTGTTTAGAAGTTCTGCCTAAGTCTCCCTACAGAATTGGCACTTGAAGACAGAGCTCAGTGTGAGCAGCTGGCAGCAGACTCACCTAAAATGTCAGGAGAGGAAACATCCAAGAATGATTAAGAGCCAGACTACCTGAGCTTGAATCTTAACCTGTGAAACCTACTAGCTGTGTCACCTTGGCACACAGCTAGTAGGTCTGTTCCTCAGTTTACTCATCTATAAAATGGGTATAATAACTGTGCATATCTCAAAGGGTTGCTGTGAGGAATATACATTTATTACACACCCGGCACCCCCCCCCCTGCCCCCCCCCCCCCCCCCAACACACAGCATTTAGAATAGTGCTTGGTACACTGTAAACTCAATAAATGAGTAAATTCAAAAAGTTCTTCCCTGGATCCTGGCCACCCTCAGCTTCTCCAGGTCCCAGACCTGAGTGTGTCCTCTTGATCTGAAGACGAGTGCCCTTCAAGGCACTGGCTGGCAATCCCGGCTTCTCTCCAGCCGGGAAACAGACACTGGTGCCAAGGGACAGCTCCGGGCAGGCCAGGCTGGGACTGTTCCAGGCCTGCTCAGCCTCTTGATAAAATCATCTGAATCCAGAGACGAGATTTTCTGTGGTGGAGTCAGCTCAAACGGCAGGCGGATTTGCAGAAAGAGCCTCACCCTACTGCCAGGAAACTGCTGTGGCTATTGCATGAGAGGCAGCAGAACCCGGTTTTTGAGAGTGTGGGATCTGATGTCAGACGGCCTGGGATCAAATTGCCAGCCTGTCTCTTCCTATTTGTATGACCTCTGAGAGTCCTTCCGCTTTCCGTACCCTACTGTCTTAGTTTGGGATGTTCCGATAGCAGAATATGAGATGAACATTTGTGTGCAAGTGATTTAGCTGGGAGTGCAGAAGTGAGTTGGGGGAGGAAGGAGAGCAGGTGGGAGGTACTTTTGTGGGCAACTGGGCTTAATTCCACAGGGGACCCTCTGCCTCACCTGGGGTGGGGAAACCAGGGTATTTATCTACCAATCCTCATCCCTACTGGCTGAGGGCTGTTCCTGAAAGCACTTACTCCCCCATACTTCTGGCCTGCCCCTCAGGCAGAGAGATGGAAGTATTTGAGAGGCAGTGAAGCTGTGGGCCTGTACGGGGACTGTCCACTGAAGCTGCAGGTGGCCCTTGGGAGGGGTGAGGGGTTGTGGGGGACACTGGCAGCATCGGCTACTTTAGGCTCTCGCATCTGTGAGATGATAATGAGCCTATGCTATGTGATTGCCTTGAAGAGTTAGACGTGTGGTTTCTGGGTGGGCTTGAGCCAGTCGGGTGGCCCTTTAACAGCAGGGTTTCTTCTGGCTGCTAGCAGAAGAGGAGGTCAGGGGGATTCAATGCATGAGGGGGTTTGACTCATCATCACTGACTTAAAGATGGAGATGGACGGCCCGTGTCACTAGGAAAGCGGGTTCCTTAAGCGACTGAGAGAGATCCCTGGCTGACAGCCAGCAAGGAAATGGGGGCCTCAGTCCTACAACTTAGGGAACTGAATTCTGAATGAGTTGAGAAAGGGTTTTTCTTTCTTCAGTTTCCAGATGAGGACTCAGCCTCGTGTCGGCCTTACGGTACTCTGAGCAGAGAACCCAGCCCTGCCACGCTGGACTTCTGACCTGCAGAACTGTGAGCTAACCAATGGGTGATGTTTAAGCAGCTGAGTTTGTGGTATTTTGCTACACAGCAATACAAAACTAATACAGAATGGAAACTGGAGCTGTCGAGGGAAGGCCATGCCCGCCCACTTGTGAGAGTTCCCCAGTCGGCCTGGAGCTCAGCCTAAGCATTCTCCTCCAACTGGCTGGCTAGGGGATGCTAGGCAACTATGCCCAGCACACCCAGGCCACCAGCAGAGAGCCTCAGGGCATGTCAGAATCCAGAAATCCTGGTTAAGGAAAGCCAGAGCAGGAATAACCCACAGCCTCTCGTTCCTTCCATTTTGCACTTGAGGAAACCGAGGCTCGTCACAATGCCTGGATGCTGCAGAGTAGCGACAGGAGCTGGTTTCAGATGGTCCCCTTTGGAACTCTAGCTCCACCCCTTGCCAGCTCTACAACCTTGGACAAGTTATGCCAGCTCTCTAAGCCTCCGTCTTTCTGTCTGTACCGTGGGGATGGAATGCTCTGGCCATGAGCAGATGAGAGAAGGGTATTCTGGGCAGAAGGAAGAGTGTGGGCAAAGGCACAGAGGTGTGGATGGTGTGACATGCGTGACTTGAGTACAGGATAGTTGGGCAGAGGGTGGAGAATGGTCTTGAGCAGTGGGGTGGGGGCCGAGTTGTGAATGCCAGACCAGGAATTTGGGCCCCCTCCTGAAGAGTTTTAATAAGGGGTGAATTGGGTCACAGGAGGCAGATGATGTGGGCCTGTCACAGCAGCATAGATTCTGAATGATGAGGATCTCGGTGGTGGCCCAGAGAAGGGGAGGAGTGGCTGAGTCGGAGGGATGCTGAGGAGGTAGAATAGATGGAACTTAAAAGAACTGCAAGGCGCCTGAGTGCCTGGGGCACTGTTGGAGGCAGTGACAGAAAACTATGTAGTAGACTTGATGGTAAGGAGAGGGAGCACTCGGGGGCGATCCCATGTGTGGCTCGGGGAAACGAGTGCGTGGGGATGCTGTTCCCTAAGCTGGGCAACGGGAGTGAGCGGGAAGGGCGGGGTGTTTGGCGGAGGGAGGAGATGACAGGCTGACTTTGGACAAGATGAACGTGAGGTGCCAGGACCTTCTAGGCAGAGCTGGTCTTCGGGGGGCTGGATGATCAGATCCGGAGCTAGGGGAGAAGACTGGGCTGGTGACAGAGACCCAGCGGCCCGTTTTTGCGTGGCTAGGAATCAAGACCGTGAAGGGAGGTGATCTCTCAGGGGCCTGTGGAGCTCCCAGGCTGAGGGACAGGCCTGGGAGAAGGCGATGGAAGAGAAGTGGCGAAAGAGAGGTAGCAGCCAGGGAGGCAGGAGAAAAACCCGGAGAGGAGTTACTCATGGGACATGCTGAGAGAAGGACGCACTTTGAGGAGTATGACCTTTTTTTTTCTTT